ATTCTTTCCAATTACAGTAAGGATTTAGTCCAGTTACATATCATGTATGTCTTACATATTTTCATATTCAGAAGGCACATGGCATTTGAAACTTGGTGGATTAATTTTATCCCATTGACTCATGCAGAAGTAGCATTCATATTAATGAATTTGAAAAGAGTAAGATTGTATTCATATTGTATGGTAATGATATGAACTCATTAAGAGACTAACACGGTGTATAGGATATGCATATATTGACTTGCTAAGAGTAGTATATATGTATATTTAAATATACACATATATGATCAAGCTTCAACATTTATAAAAGAAAATTTTATTTTGTAATTTACAATACTGCAAACAAAATTTTATTGTTAAAAATATTCACACATACAATCATATAATTCTCCTAATTAAATGATATGCTAAAGAAATATAAAGGGGGATGCAGGTAATAGATTCAATTTTTAGCAATATGAGTTATGATTTCACAGATGGAGAGGATAGTATTTGTTATCAAAGACTAGTGAGATGGGGGTCAAGTAGGGATGGAGCAAGGGTTCTTAGTAGACGTTAAACTCTAGCTAGTTAAAATTAGAAATGATGTTCTTTAATGAACACTAAACTCTACTTAGTTCTTTTCTGACAATCCACAACAGTCCCTATAGGAAAATTATTGGTTAAAAATAGAAATGAACAAGTAATTTTCCACGTTAACACTAAAAAATACATATTTGAACAGAGAATCCACCTAATTTCATAAAGCGTTTATATTCCAAAATATCACTAAGTACTCCACAATTTAATGTATCAAGCAAAAGAAAAAGGAAAAAAAGCAAAATACTTGCTCCAACAGAAAATATTATAACTGAATTTATAAGATGACTACAAATTCTTATATACTGAGATGACTAAGATATAGTTTCAAGTTTAGGATACATAAAAAAATGAAATTCTCTGATACTGTAATCACATTTCATTTGCAAGTTCATTTCAACTTAATTTAATCTAGAGACTGAATGCACTAAGCACAATCCAAACACACAAGGAGCCTCTTTGTCATTACCAGGATTAAATGTCAACCTGTTTTAATCACAAGTGCTTTCTGTATTCCTGACCAGCTACAGAAAATTGTGCTTTTCTGCAATGCTCTCTCCAGACTTGAGAAATGCAAATACTTAAATAGATGCTAACCACGTATTAAGCTTTTAATGTTGTCATTTAAATGATTTTGTTGAAAACAATGATAGTAATCTTTAATACCTAGACTCACTATATATCAAAATACTTTCCTTTTGGCCTCCTCTAATCATTTAGTAACTGCATACATAGAAGTATAGCGTCTAGCTCCATCAGTATATTGAATTTTTTTTTAATTCATGAATTTATATTTTTCAGCTCTGGAATTAGTTTTTATTTGGTAATGCTAAAACTACTAATATTTTAAAATAAACTTGTGCAAAAGTTTTTCATGCTTACCTTTTTAGTAGAAGTAAAACAATTATCTTATTCACTACATTAAAAATGAGAAAAGAAAAATATTAAAGATCAGGGAATTTCTACAAAGCAATTTCTAACTACTTTCTCAAATTTATCATATTATCAGAATGAAAAATATTCTTTAAGTAGTAAGCATTCTCTACCCTGGGATCATCTTATTCCCCATGCAATCTTCTAATTGAACTAAACAGTTTGCCTGTCACTCAGGAAGCTGGATATAGGTCAGAAATAATACTAACCCTAGTATTTTCTATACAATTTTAGCCTCTCTATGTATTTTTCAATCAGTAACAACTATGTCCATTGGCCTTAGCCTGGGATCTGTTGGAGACTGATTATTGCTGGGTGAAGCAGAGCAGACCTTCCTTAAAATTTGTAGACAGCCTGACTATATGCCAGTGGATGAACCTGCACCAAAGAGTTTCTGGATACAATTGCTTGAGTGGGTGGGACTTCAAACGTATGGCTGGAATACATGAGGTCCAGTGGGAAGTGTGTGTAAGAGAGCATGGATGTAGGAAGAGGCCTAAATTTTATTAAGAACCTCTGTATAAAATGTACAAAACACAATAAAATATTTTCATTGAATACATCCAAAATATTGCACCTACATAATACTTAGGACATAAATAAGAAGGTATTTAACACAATACAACTAGGTAATACATTAATTTAGAAGGAATTTTATTTTTCTGTCATTTTGTAAAGAGATGTCAGAGCTCTAGGTCTGTTTAACTATCTGTGGGATCTTCAGCATGAGTCTATTTTGTGCTGTGCCCACCTTCTCCAGTCAGACTTCTTCATCCCCTAAACTATAAAGGAATGGCAGACTTTGAATTGATTTCTGTTTAACTCATGGCCTCCAGGCTGATAACAGAAGCTCCATGTTCAGTAAGCTGGCTTTTATTTGCAACTATATGACTGTCCTGTTGGAAGGAATTGTTTGATCAGATGCATTATTTCCCAGCTCTGTATTAGCTACAATCTAGTAAAAACAAACTGTGCCGGTGCTTTAAATGAATTTCATTATTTTTCTGTACTGATGCTCTTAAGCAATAATTTCAAGTCAAATTACAGAAAATATGGTAGAGCGTATAAGCTTTAAATTGTTATCATAAGCAGTCATTCTTGATGAATAGTCTCCACTATGAAACCATTTAGCATGCTTTAATGAACTGTTAGTGTCTCCTTGAAAGCAGAGGAATGGACAGGCATTCTTTTCATTATAAAATGTTTTCACACACAATACTACCTAGCAGTAGTTTTAAAATGTATGATCTTCATGAGTTTAATTCTTATTTTTCAAACAGATAATGAAGAGCAACTTAAATCTTATGTATTATACTAGCATATTTTGAAATTCACCTCTCAGTAAATTGAGTTAATTTTAAAGGTACCACTAAAGTAGATGATAGAAAGATACACTATGTATCACACCCATGCACCAAGGGGTGATCTTTCTTTCCAAACGTTCCTATGTACATATTTATAAATTTATTACCTTAGTAGTCACAAATTTTATATTTATTGAAAGTTATGTAATATGGATACAGAAAACATGTGCTTCTGAAATTTACCTTTTTATACAGGTCTCTAATAAGGCAGAATATATTGCTGATTACATGTCAATATTTATTCATCTATTCTCCTAGTTCTTGTCACATATATAATACAGAAACAGATGACAGTGACAGAACATCCCATCCTTGAAAAAAGTGGGATAATAGTTTCATACTGAAAGTATTATAGGTAATAGGGTATGATTGAAAAATGGAGTAAATGGGGAGGGAAACAAAGTACCTAGAAAAGTGACAGAGGACAGAATCGTTTCAGTAAACTATTTAACTCTTCCAAACTCTTTCATTTATTTAGTTGTGCTTGGAACTTCACATCTAAAATTGAAGAACTTGTTCACATAGAAACTTTCATAATTGTAAAACTCTCTGGATAGAACTTATTCTTTTCTTAAATTTTTGCTTTTTTAGATAAAATGTTATTTCTCATCAGTCAAGAAAGGATTCCAGGGCACACCAGCTTAGAGTTGTGCATAGATCGACTTCTCCTGGCTTTTGACATTCATGAAAGTTTGATCTTGCCATAAATTATTTCAGTGTTTTGATAGGTCTCATTTCTTCTGTTAGTTCATAGAACTGAAACATGTAGGAATGATGTTTACAATTGAGAAATAATCTGGACTAAAGAATTTTAATTAACTTTGCAACTTTAAAAATCCATGTTTATAATGTAAAAAAGGCCACTGAGCAACTTGTGCTTCTCTTGTGACCTCGATATGTGACTTGATCCCTCAGGATCCCTCCTTTCTCTCCACCCAGAACAATGCATAATTGTATGTATGAATGCTTTACATATTATAGAGCTGAAGGAAGCGTCCTTCCTCATTGCCACTGAGGAGTAAAACTTGGTGTGTGTGATATTCTAGGGTTTAGAAGGCAAGATTCTCTGATAAGTGTGGATCCTGATTTCTACTTTTTCAT